CGCAACTTGGTCTTGTTGTCAAGGCGACTATGTAGAACGCATCTAGTCCGAAGTCGTCTGCCATAGTAGTCGTCATGTTTCCCAACATCTGACTGTGGACTTGATATATTCTTAAACGTTTCGCCGGCATCGTATTCGGCATCATCAGTGAGTTTTGCCATTCTCCGCACCAATCTACGAACTCGTCAAAGAGACAAGTGAAGTCAATGCCTCGACAACTGTTCTGCGGATTGGAGGCCCGAGTCGGACAAGCCAATTGAAAGAGAGGGGTTGGGATAAATAGCAAGTGTGATGAGCCCACACAAAAAGCACACATTTTGACGAGTGGAATGTAAACAAGTGAGAAGTTGTGATGTGGCGGGAGTGGGAGAAGAGGGTCACGAGTAGATAGATAGGCCAGGAAAGAAAGAAGATTAATAGTGTAACCGTTTTCGGTAGAACCCTTGTCGAGGAATTGACTTCACTTGTCTCTTCGACGAATTCGTTACTTGGTGCGGAGAATGGGAACGCTCACTGATGATGCCGACTATGATGCCGGCGAAACGTTTGAGGATGTATCAAGTCCACTGTCATATGCTGGAAAGCATGAAAACTACTATGGCAGACGACTTCGGACTAGGTGCGTTTTACATACTCGCCCTGACAACAAGACCAAGTTGCGACAACGAGGTCAACCCACTTACATATTTTACATTTTTATTATTTTGAAATTCCAGAAGACGAAATGATAAGCTCAATTTGCCCAGTAAGTGTATAAGGCTATTCAAACAGGCTCAGAGTAACTACCGTAAATCACTTAGAGAAAGCCGTTGACATTTGGGTGTCAAATTGCCTCCAAATCAGTCCATATATCTACCTGCCTTTCTCATACATGTGTTCCTTGATAAAATTTGCCTCTTATTCCACCCTCAATTTTAGATAGCGATGTACTTCAGCGTATTTGCGCCCTACTCCTTCCTTATTCGATGGCCACCGCGAGGTCGTCGCATTCTAAGCCTTCTAGTTCTACTCTATCTGCGGCTGCGGCGCAGAAGCAGGCGCCAACGATTCTAATCTACAAAATGGTGATCAGTGCGCTCAAAGCATTGCTTCGTACTGGACTCAAAGTGAGATTCGAGCTATCTTACATAACATTATTTAATAATCTACATCAACATTCTTAGTACTTCCATTCTTTAGCTTTCTTGGGGTAGTTGGTAGATGCATGATACCGAGGGCTAATGACAAATATGAATTATGAATTTGGTCGAGTGCCAGATGGGCATAAGAGTTGCGATAAGAAAGAGCGAACGCAATTCATGAGGTTATTCATTAATATTTAGGAAGACAATGAAACAATATAAGGGATAATAAGTTAGAGCTTAGTGGCAATATAATATTAAACAAAGTCTAAACAAGTACATACAATTTTTAAGCATACTACTAAGGAAAATAACTAATATATGAAGCAAAGCTGGGCTTCGGAAAATGGCTTAATGAAATATTGTGACATGACTCTCCA